CAGATCAAGTTCGAAGATGAGCATCCGAGCTCAAAAAATGGCTTTTAAAAAAATCAAAAACCTCAGGTTGCAAAATATGTATTGTTTCAAATATTTTTTATGGGCTCCTAAGGGGTAACTCGTGAAAATAGAACCCTACGAGCGAAAATTTCGGCCGTTTTGCTGAATCTTCTACCGTTCAGGCGCTATGGGGCATTTCTTGGCGAAAACAACTTGAAAAAGACAAAATGGTCTATTATACGTAAAAAAGGCTTCATGTCACAGAATTGTGAAGGGAGTAATACTTAAACTACACATTACGGGTCGAATCACACCCTCTCTAGGGCTTAAGGCTCCCTGGATTATCTAGTATCTCTAAAACGTTGATTTTTACATAACAATCTGACAAAATTCGAACTTTTAATGAAACCTGTTATAGAACAGCAGAACTTTCATATCCCTAATTTTAGAGTAATAAGACCCCAACAAATGGTTCGAGTATATCAAATTTTGGGCCCGGAAGGCCCTGTTCCCCTGTACCCTCTCCTTAACTCGTCTCGGTCGTCAGCGCCGCAGGCCTAGCTATGTGTGCGCCAGGCGCGTCGCAGCGTAACAGTGTTTCGTGAGATATCGCGAAGCCTGTTACGCGAGACGTGGTCTGGCGTACATATAGCTAGTACCACCTAGATGGAGCTTTGGATTTTACAAAGCAATTCGTAAAATAACGACGTTTCGTCATTTGTTTAAAACGCAGTTTTCGTGATAGAAAATTAACCGAGAAAATTTCGTAAAATTACGATAATTGATTTTACATTGATAGAATCCTTCCTGAGATCTCCCCAAATCTCGCTCTGATTCTCTCAAATCCTCTACAATCTTCCCAACCCAACGAATCATGCCGACCGTACCAAACCCAATCCTGCCAAAATTGGGCTCCAATCCATTCAAATCCCCCTCAAATCCTTTCTATCTTACCCCAATTCTCGCCAATCCGCTCCAATCTTACGCCAATCTCACGCCAATCTCACGCCAATCTCACGCCAATCTCCTCCAATCCATACAAATTTTTGCCAATCTCCACAATCCGTCAGAATCTATAAATGTTTCAAAAATCTTTTGAATCCCACCAAATCTGTAGGGATTCCAATCCCTGTACACGGCTTTTCGGAGTTATGCACCCCTCGGTTTGTGCAGGGGGTAGAATCGGAGCGCTCAGGCCGCACGCCAGTCGGTTGAGCACACGCATGTCTTTTCCGCACTTTTTAAAGCTGTTTGATATTTTGACCAACCGCATGAGTGGTATCACGCGAAAGGGCAGAGTTCGAACTTTACCGAGGTACCTCTACAACCCCTCTCCGGTGCTCGAGCGTCTGCTGGACCACAACAAGAGCCAGCCAGTCGTCGGTGACACAAGTTTGCATTTAGTGTTTCTTAATTGCTGGACGTCGTTTGGCGAACATATTATTGGATATTATGATGGACCATAACCCCTTCCAACTATAACAGTTGATATTTCATCTCAGAGGTAAGTCGATTTCATGTTTGAACGAAAACAATTTCGGAGGTTGCTCTCGAGGTTATCCACCATCGCGTGAAAGGAACAAATTTTCACTTGATCGGCAGTATTGTTGAATAAAAACTCGTACGGCGTTGGAAAGCCCATGAAACGCGCCTCAGTATAGGATACTTCTTGCTTCGCCGCAAATCACGCGAGTATTATTAAAATGTAAAATAAGCTGCCGAATCCAAAATGGCTGCCGATCTCACATCAGCTTATTTTTATAAAATGAAGGAAATATTGTGATCAGACCGAAAGGACACCTATCCTTTTCGAAAGTTGGTTTAGTAATCTTACTAGTTGCACACTCGTTCGACAATGCAATCGCTTGGCTTGCGTGAAAATGTGTTTTGTTTGCGCCCCGGCGGGTAGACTGGCACTTAAAAATCACTTTTTAGATATTTAAAGGTCTTAGGGTCAGACTTTGTTTCTTTCGATGAAAAAAAAAATCTATTTTTTTCGGAGACCGATCGGACACGTTTTAGTGCTGCCGCAACGGCCCTGAAGT